ATTGTCCAACAATCTGTAACACATATTTAGAGATTAGATAATGAAATAGAAATATTGTCCAATAATCTGTAACACATATTTAGAGATTACATAATGAAATAGAAATCTTGTCCCACAATCTGTAACACATATTTAGAGATTAGATAATGAAATAGAAATATTGTCCTATAATTTGTAACACATATTTAGAGATCAGGTAATGAAATAGAAATCTTGTCCAACAATCTGTAACACATATTTAGAGATCAGGTAATGAAATAGAAGTATTTCCCAACAATTTGTAACACATATTTAGAGATCAGGTAATGAAATAGAAATATTGTCCTATAATTTGTAACACATAATTAGGGATCAGGTAATGAAATAGAAATCTTGTTCAACAATCTGTAACACATATTTAGAGATCAGGTAATGAAATAGAAGTATTTCCCAACAATCTGTAACACATATTTAGAGATTAGATAATGAAATAGAAATATTGTCCAATAATCTGTAACACATATTTAGAGATTAGATAATGAAATAGAAATCTTGTCCCACAATCTGTAACACATATTTAGAGATTAGATAATGAAATAGAAATCTTGTCCCACAATCTGTAACACATGTTTAGAGATTAGATAATGAAATAGAAACAACCTAATAAAACAATTACTGTTTTCATTTGTCGAAATATTATATATGTATCGTTCCATCGATTTTTCTTTTCTTTGTAAATAATTGAATTAACATTTTATTATTTCCTACACCTTTTTCGTTACCTTTATATAACACATCCATAAAAGTTTGAATTTCGACCTGTATTTCTTCGTAGTGATAGGATACGCCTGCAATTATGTAAGTTAGTGCTTGATTAACATAAACATTTTTGATTTGTATTAATGTAACAAGTGTTTGTTAGTAACTGTTATACTATGCATAAAAAAAACACAAATTAAATACACAAAACTCATCTCGGTGCAGTTTTATGATTTGTTTTGAGACTCACTATTTTCTATAGATGAGACACAAAATGAGGGTGGGCTCAAGTTAGTGTGGACCCCTTAAGTGGTTTTTCTCTACTAAACATTCGAGCTCGACAAAATAAAATACACACAATCAATGTTCGTATCCGTACCCACACAAATGAAATGAAGCACCCAGTAAATATCCTGCATTTTATTAAAAATAGCAAACTCTGTATACATTATATCTATGCCTAACATTAACCTATTAATTTTATCACAGGAAATCCACCTCACGAATTCGTCATATTGGAACAAGAATCAATGAATATTAGCAACAAGCACTCCATCTATGTGTAGTAGTTTAAAGTATATCATGTTATTCTTTAAATGTCAATTTTTTTTTAACACTTATGTTTTAGAATGACTTATTTAGTAAAGTGGGGAATCTTCAGAATATTCTAATGTTTCAAATTCTATGAAGTTGTTTTATGGGTAAAATATGTTAAAATTTTTTTTGTATGTTTTAGTGACTCTTTGAAGATGGCGATGAATTCGTTGGATCGAATTATCTTATATAAAAGCCAGTATGTGTCACGACACGTTACGTTTGATTTCTGGAAATAGGAGGAGTCATAAATGCCAAAATGTATTTATCCAGATAGACTAGTTCTATTATTGACTGCCCATTATGATTTTAGTGATGGGAGTAAAAGGGAGCTGTAAGGGGGTGGGTGGGGTGCCGTGAAACCCTATAAGTGTAGTGAGAGTTGGTACGATAAGCTTAAAGTAAAGATGTAGTGTGGGATCACCTAGCCTAGAGCCAAGTGTATAAAATTTATCATGAAAGTAAAAATATCGATTCAATTTTAAACTGAAATCGTTTCTGAATTAAACTCTTTTTCTGTTATATCACCAACGTTTTTATATAAAACAAACTTCTCTAATCAACGGAGACTTTAAGTTAAGAAATCAACAAATATTTTTCCAGTTTTGTTGTCTATAC